AAGAAACCAAAAGCCTACTCAGCGGTAGCAGACACCGTGCAGCCTTCACACTAAAGGCTCCATGATTTTCTCCCCTGTGTAGTCTCCAGGTGCCTGAGCCAACACCCTTCGCACTTTCCCTCCCTCTTCCTTCTCTTTCCCCTTCCTCCTATGGAACAGCTCAGTTGCCAACCTCCTTCTTCTCCTCCTTCTCTTTCCCCAGATTTTGCCCCACATTCTTTTTTTAATCAATTTCTCATACAAATTAAAAAATTTAAAGAGCTCCCTTCCTACTAACTTACACCTTTATACCTGCTCTCTCTCTCTTGCTCTCTGTCTTTCTCTCTTTCATTCCCTCTCATTCCTCCCCTCACTTTCTCCCTCTTGCTCTCAGTGTCTCTCTCTCTCTCTCTCTCTCTCCACTTGCATCCTAATGTCCTTCACTCAATTTGATTCAGCGTAATATAATGCCCTCCATTCCACTTAAGGTATAGGCCTCCCAAAGACAGAGAGAGGAACTTTAAATAATAAACCATTTTTTCTGAGATAAATAGTTTATTTACCTTTGTACATTTCTTCTGATTAAAAGGATATTTATGCAACACTGATCACAGTGTCTGATACATAAAATGGTGCAACACTTGCTGTTTTTTCTTACATTAGGGGAAAATAAAATCTTTCATTGCCTCCCCATTCAAGAATAATCGTGTGCATAAGTGTCCAGACACATCCATGTGATGATCCCCAGCTGCCCATAGATAGAAATCATGTAATAGGCACAGAAAATGAAATGAAGTTCATCACAATTGATCATAAACAAGGGATTATGATCACTTGAGCCTAAGAAAGAAGCAGGAGATGCAATATTGAGGTGGGTATTTTCACATACTTGAATCCTTACAACAGTCTTATGGAGACAGATATTATTGGCCCTAACCCTGCTATCATATTTCACCACCACCAAACTGGCCATTGGGAGTTTACAGAACAGAATTTTCTGTGGAAGCTTTCGTTTATGGCACTCTTCAGCTCCTTGTTCCTTAGGCTGAAAATAATTGGGCTAAGGAAGGGAGTGAAGACTGTGTAGGTGGTGGCCATCAGGGTGTCACTGTACGTAGAATGGAAGCCCTTGGGCTTGAGGTAGATGATGGAAGCAAAGCCATAGTGCACAACCACCACTGTCAGATGGGAAACACATGTGGAGAAGGTCTTATGCCGGCCCTCAGCAGAGGGGATCCTCAAGATGGCAGCCACAATGAAGACATAGGAGAGGATGATGAGGAACAGACAGCCTATCAGGGCTGTGACACACACCAGGATCACACCCATGGTGACAGAAGATATCGTGTCCCCACAGGCCAACTTCAAGAGGGAAAGAACATGGCATAAAAAATGGTGGATCACATTAGACCCACAGAAGCTGAGGTGAAAAACTATCGATGTCACCATCATCCCCATGATGGAGCCACCAGCCCAGGTCCAGGCCACAAGACGGGCACAGTCACGGGGGCTCATGAGCACATGGTAGTGCAGGGGGTGGCAGATGGCCACATAGCGGTCGTAGCCCATGATCATGAGCAGGAAGGAGTGGGTGAAGCCGAACATGAAGGAGAAGAACATCTGGTTGGCACAGGCCACAAAGCTGATGGAGCGACGGGTGGAGAGCAGATCAGACAGCATGCGAGGGGTGATGGCGACTGTGAACAGAATCTCAGAGATGGAGAGGGCACACAAGAAGAGGTACATGGGCGTGTGGAGTCTGTGTTCAGTCCAGATTGTGACCATGATGAGCAGGTTCCCCAGCAATGTGAACAGGTACATCAAGAGGTACAGCAGAAAGAAGGCAGGCAGGAGTTGCTGCGGGAAGGCCGAGAAGCCAAAGAGGATAAATTCAGACACGGTGCTATAGTTCTGACTAGACATGGATGCTGTGCCTGGTGAGGGGAGAAATAAAATGAAGGCATACTTGTTAAGACACAGGCTCTAGATTAGATCAAATGGCAATTTAAGAGTTCTGTGCTATTCAACAACTTGCAGGACTTTTCAGGTTCTCCAAAATGGCGTAATTAATAATAGCTCTTAGCAACATGATAAAGACAAAATGAGATCAATATATTAAATGCTTAAGATAGGCTTGGCCCCATAGTACAGTAGTTACAGCACCAGCCACATGCACCGAGGCTGGCGGGTTCGAGCCTGACCCAGGCCACCTAAACAGCAATGATAACTGCAACAACAAAAATAGCTGGGCACTGTGGTGGGCACCTGTAGTCTCAGCTACTTTGGAGGCTGTGGCTAGAGACTCACTACACCCAAGAGTTTGAGGTTGCTGTGAGTTGTGACACCACAGCACTCTAACCAGGGTGACAGCTTGAGACTCTGTCTCAAAAAAGAATAATAATAATAATTTTAAAAAATGCTTCAGATAATTTGGCTGCTAATTGGGTTTTTATTAACATTAACTAAAATAAGAAAAAGGAAATTTTTGGAGCCATTAGAGACAGGCATGAATGATCTTTAAAACATATATCATGGGGTTTTAAAAAACTTCCCCTCAGATTCTTTATCACTTAATTGATTATTTAACCCATGTACATTTAATTTAATACTGTTTTATTCGTAACTATTGGTACCCATCTCATTTCATATTCTGTAATTGATTCTCTAAAGAAACTGAACAGAACATTTGCAAATAAAAGGATAAATAGATATATATGCAAAGCAAATGTGTTCCAAATGGAAGTTGAGGCTGCAATCTCAATAATTTAAAAAATGAAACTTAGGGCAGTGCCTGTGACTTAAAGGAGTAAGGCTCCGGCCCCATACACTGGAGGTGGCAGGTTCAAACCTGTCCCTAGCCAAAAACTGCAAAAAAAAAAAAAATGAAACTTAAAGAAACAATGACCATAATGTTTCTAATACCATATGCCACTAAAGGAACTAGGGTTCCTTGAGAATTAGCTGATTTGTGGTCTAGACATGGAAGAAAGGCTAGACATCTTCTACAGTGTAAATGAAACTTACCCTGAGTAATGAGATAATATTTAAAGGATGAGGATACCAGATTGAAAAGATGCCCGCTGTCTGAAAAGAATAATCCTTGTAGGAAAGATGGAGGAACAAGCTAAATGACATCAAGAGGAAGAAATCTGACAAATCCAGAAGGGGGAACATTCCACAGAACTATTAGTCTGGTCTCATCAATAAGCCAGGGTGGTTGGAAGCATAACAGAGATCCAAGGACATAACATCCGGATGCAATGTAGAATACTAGGTTGGATCTTGATTTAGATAAAACAGCTGTACTTACTGTTACGGCAACGTAAAAAAAGAAAACTTGGATTATGATATGAATGAATGATTAGTTATGAATAATTTCAAGGGATTATTATTGTTCTACTTAATTTTTAAGTGTGATCTGACTATTTTGACCATGAAGGAAAATGTTCTTATTTTCTCAATTCATAATAAAATTTAAAAATCACATGCACACACTCTAAGGTACAAAAAATATTTCTATTGGTTAGAAGGATAGCAACTATCATAAGTATTATAAATCTATATAACAATATACCATGGAATATTAAGTAAAAAATAATCAAAACAACTTCATCAAGATAGATAGAAATGGCTAAATCAATGATAGATACATAATTATATAGTTAGAAATTTTAATACAAAGCTCACAAATGCAATTTATTAATTATTAATTATAACATAATTAATACTATACAGACATTAATTAACTATTGGATATATTTAGACTCTTCACCAAAAAGAAAATGAACATTTTTTTCAAGCACACAGAGAACTTTTACAAAAATTGACATTTCATTGGAACATATAAAGTTCTTCACAAATTCCAAACTGTAAATATTATATAGATTATAATGCATAACATTAAAAATCAATATGGGGCTCAGCACCTATAGCTCAGTGGTTAGGACACTGGCCGTGTATACTGAGGTTGGTGGGCTTGAACCTGGCCTGGGCCTGCTAAACAACAATGACAACTGCAATAAAAAAATAGCCAGGCATTGCGGCAGGCACCTATAGTCCCAGCTACTTGGGAGGCTGAGTCAAGAGACTTGCTTAAGCCCGAGTTTGAGGTTGCTGTGAGTTATGATACCACAACACTCTACCAAGGGCAGCATAGTGAGACTCTATCTCAAAGAAAAAAAAAATCAATATGGATGGAATGGCTTTTCAAATCCCATTATGGAAGCTAACTGTATAGTTAAATAATCATCAGTTTTAATAGTAAATCATGAAATAAATTAAATATTTAAAATTAAATAATTTAAACAGTGAATATCAAAATTTTAACCTAAAACAGTACTTGGATGGAAATAGACAGCTCTAAAAATATTTCTCAAAATCTTCATGAGGAAAAAATCATAATAAACCAAATTATTGGAAAAGAGAGAAAGCTAAAATAAGGTCCCAATTATAAACTCACCAAAAAAGTTTAAATGTTTACAGAGATGATGAATATTTTTAAATTGACAAAGTAGTAAGAAAAATATGTTAATAAATTTTACATTGCAGATGAAATGAATAAATTCTTAGAAAAATATGAAATTCTAAAACTGGTGTTACCAAAAATAGAGGAGCCTGTATACTCACCTAAGTTTTTTGTTTGTTCGTTTTGAGACAGTCTCACTTTGTTACACTCAGTAGAGTGTCGTGGCATCACAGCTCACTGCAACCTCAAACTCTTGGGCTCAAATGATCCTCTTGCCTCAGCCTCCTGAGTAGCTGAGACTACAGATGCTCACTACAATACCTTTTTTGGTATAGCTGGGGTTTCACTCTTGTTCTGTTTAGTCTCAAACTCCTGAACTCCAGTGATCCACCTGCCTCAGCCTCCTAAAGTGCTAGGATTACAGACGTGAGCCATTGAACCCAACCTTATACTCAAAATGTATGCAGTAATTGAGGCTAAAGGCTGATTCATAAGTTTTAAAGAAATTAAAATGTTGGTCAAACATTTTCTGTCTCTGAAATCATTGCCCCAGTGGGTTTTATTAAAATGTAGTTGAGTTCTATTAAATCATTAAGAAACAGTTGGTTCGTATTTTATACATCACCTTTAGAAACATAGAAAACAGCTATGAAATCTGCACATCTCAGCTTATCAGGTTAATGCAATCATGATCTAAAAGCAGGTAAAAATGTTTACAAAAAAGGTAATTATAGGCCCATTCACCTATCCATGCACATTTTACATTCCAGAATAACACATAACCTTGGCAAATCTAATGGTGTATTAAAAATAGTTTATCATGATCAAATAAATGACAAGGATGATATCCCAGCAAAAAAAAAAACAACCATGATTTATCACTTGAATCAACTAAAAAAGAAAATAATATAATTATTTCAATTAAGCCAAAACTCATTTTCTAAAACTCAGCTCCTATTTGTGATTTTTCTTCTTCACAACACAAAATCAAAGGGGTCTTTCTTAACAGTAAGGAATATCTACATAAAACTCGCAAATTCTACACTATCTGGAGAAATGATAGATGCAGGATTTTAGGGTCAAGAACAAGCCAAGGATTCTCACTAACTCTGCTGTTCTTTAACATAGAACTGGAAGTCATGAGTGATGTTGTAAGGGGAAAAAATAATAAAGAAGGCGTATAAAGACTGGCAGGGAAGAGACATGATCATCTACCAAGAAAAGATAAAAGAACTGAGGAATAATCCATTAGAACAGTAACAGAGAACACAATACTGCAGAAAGCAACGTCAACTTCGGTGTTTCGAACGGTACTATTAGCAGTAATAATTATTCAAAATGTATAATTCCAATATAAATGGGGAGGGACTTTCCAATAGTGCACAAACTGTAAAGAAACATCTCTCAAACACTGTGTTCTCAGGATCACTTTATATCCCCAGTTATTGAGCACCCTAAAGGAATTTTACTTAGATAGGTCACAACTACCAATTTCGGGGCCATATTAGAAATTAAAACTGAGAATTGTGAAAAGATATTTATTTATGGCTCAGTGCCTATAGCTCAAGCGGCTAAAGCGCCAGCCA